TGAATTTCTTTTGTAGTTTCTGATTCTTGTGTGAGACTCAGGCCTTCAAGTTTAGGTCTGCTTCTTTTTGTGAACTTATGTGTCTTTGTGGTTTACTTTTTGGGCATGAAAAGCTGGTTTGTCAAGCTTCCTATTCTCTCTTTTGATTTTATATTGAAGCAGCTGGATTGCTTTTGTCTTCAGGAGCTCCCACAGAGGCCCAATTCAGATGAGTTTCAGATGTTTTCAGGCTTTCTCCTAAGGTCTGGATCCCTCTGGAATTTGGGGTTTGGAATAGCCTGGGAGCCTGGCTCAGGAAAGATGCTGGTCTATGGCAGCTGTTGGCAGTTCCACCAAGAGATGCAAAGGCAGATAGGGCGGGAAGAGGCCCCATGGCCTCCTGGGGACTGCACTGAGGAGCAGTTGGTCTGGATGCAAAGGATCAGGAAGAGGAAAGGTCAGCCCCAGAGTCCCAGAAAGAGGCTGGAGGGTGGTGTAGGCCCAGGGAAGTATAGGGAGATGAGGACGGGGATAGGCCCAGAAGTAGTGCTCCTGGGGCCCAAAGAAGGCACTAAGTTGGTCTGTATGAAAAGAATCAGCGAGCAGTATTGGTTTCCCAGGTGTCTGGGTCCCCAAGACAAGGAATGGGGCAGGGCCCAAACTCGGAGGCAAGAACAGCCATGGAGATGGGAGGGTGAAAGATTGGGGAGTCAAGGCGCCAAGGGCGCAATGCACTTACCCTGGATATAGGTCTGAAGGTAGGAGAGAGGCCTGCTGCAGGTCCTGCACGTCCAGGGAAGCAGAGGGAGGTGAGGGCAGGGCCAGACCCAGAAGCAGTGCTCCTGGGGCCCAGAGAAGGCACTAAGTTGGTCTGGATGAAAGGATCAGGAAGCCTTATTGGTTCCCCAGTTGTCTGGGGCCCTATGACAAGGAATGGGGTAGGGCCCAAACTCAGAGGAGAGAATGGCGGTAGATATGGGAGGGTAAATGAGGCTGGGGGAGACAAGGCGCGGAGGGCGCTATGCACTTACCTGGAGAATGGCCTGCAGGTAGGAGAGAGGATTGTGGTGGGTCCTGCAGGCCCAGGGAAGCAGAGGAAGGTGAGGATGGACCCAGGCCCAGAAGCAGTGCTCCTGGGTCCCAGAGAAGGCACTATGTTGGATGAAAAGGATCAGGAAGCCTTATTGGTTCCTGCAGAGGGCCCCAAGATAAGGAATGGGGCAGGGCCCAAACTCGGAGGCGAGAATGGTGGTGGAGATAGGACTGTGAATGAGGCTGGGGGCGTCAAGGCGTGGAGGGAGCAATGGACTTACCCCGGAGAGAGTTCCGCGGGTAGGAGAGAGGCCTGGGGCGGGTCCTGCAGGCCCAGGGAAGCAGAACAGAAACTGCAAAGCTGGTTTGCTAGCAACAAACTCCCTCAATTGTTTTCTATCTGAGAAAGTCTTTAGTTTTCCCTTTTGAAGGTTAATTTTGCTGAGTATTATAATGTAATATTGGATTGCCTTTCTTATCTAAATATAATTGTAGTATTTCAGGAAATTGATATTATATGTCTTTCATAACTTATGCCATGCTCGATCCCATAGTAATGAATAAATATAAGCACTGTTTAAAAACACTTTAACATATTTTGATTTGTGCTTTTCATAGGATGAGCTCTGTGGAATGAAAAATAGGGTACAAGTAGTTGTACTTGAAAATGAAAGGCTCCAGCAAATGCTGAAATCTCAAAGACAAGAGGAGATGCTGAGGGAGCAAACACTTCTGGATGCATCTGTGAGCATTTTTTAAGTCACAAAATCTCTTTTGCATATTTCCTTTTACCCTTTCTCTTAGTCTTTCACTGTGTCTAACCTTTGACATTATAATATATTTCCATGTACAAAGTTCATACTTGAGAACTGTGAAGCTGAGTTAAAAAAAAAAAAATCCCAGTGTTTTAAATGAGTTTGTGATTTTGTGTTAGGCTGCATTTCATTGCTATTCTGGGGCTCATGTGGCCCATGACACGCAGGTTGGACACACTAGGTCCACCTCTCCTTAAAATTTGGCCAAAGTGCCATGGTCATATCTGCCTGGTGCCTCAAAAATTAGAATTGACTGTGACAGAAAGGATCTATAAGTCATATAATTAATGCCTAGAAGTTTCTCCATTTTTTTTTTTCCTCTGAGCATGCAATTTTGGCCATTTCCATATGGAAAGAGGAATTTGTAAGCACAAAATTTGTTATAAAGGCAGGACTATGTTAAACCAAGAAATGCTTCAGATCTTACCTTAGATCTCTGTTGAATTTTTTAGAGCATATTAAAGTGCTAGTTTGTGAGTCCAAGAATCAAGACACTGCTCTTCCCATGGTCCCTAAGTTTCAGTGTCTCATGGCATTTAGAAAGTAGTTTAGTGGAGTCTTATATGACATAATTTCATGAATAATTACTTACCTTTATTGGTAATTTGAGAAGATTTACCTGCAACAGGGTCTTACATTGAGAGTTCTTGAGTCCATTCCCTGAAAGTCTGATTCCGCTGGTGTGGCAGGATTCGAGAAATAAACCTCAGGTTGCCTAACTGATACTAATATCAGTGGGTCTTATTATCTCCACAATTTCGATACAAAGTTCTCATTATTATATTTAAATTGTTTTAAATTTAATGTCTTATTACTTATCAAAGGTACTTTTGCATTAAACGAGCTTTTCATCCTTTCAGTATAGGACGCAGTTAATCATAGCTTGTTCTGCTTATTGAGATAAATGTAACCTTCCATGGGGAAGTTTCGATGCTTGCCTGTCCCAGGTTTACTTTGTTGTGGTCTTTGGTGGATTTTAACTTAGTTATTATTAGTAAATCAGTCACATTAAGAATAGTGTACTAGAGTCTTGATGTTGTACTTAGATACCCTCTCATTTGGGTTTTGAAGAGCCCATCCCCCAATCTGACCCAGTATTTCATTTCTAACATTTGAGTTATGTGTGTAAGAATTTGCTGTTAAGAGGCATCTGAGCTCTCTGCTACCCGCAGGCCTCTCTCCAGGGTAAGTCCATCGCACCTTCTGTGCCTTGACTCCCGCAGCCTCATTCACCCTCCCATCTCCCCCACGGGTCTCTTCTCCTACTTTGGGTCCTGACCGATTCCTTGTCTTGGGGCCCCAGAAACCTGGGGAACCAATACTGCTTCCTGATCCTTTTCATCCAGACCAACATAGTGCCTTCTCTGGGCCCCAGGAGCACGGCTTCTGGGCCTGGCCCTACCCTCACCTCCCTCTGCTTCCCTGGGCCTGCACCACTCACTGCAGGCCTCTCTCCTACCCACCACAGGCTGCCCTCCAAGCCTTGACTAGCCCAGCCTCATTCACCCTGCCATCTCCCCCGCCGCCAGTCTCTCCTAGTTTGGATCCTGTCCCATTCTTCATCTTGGGGCCCCAGACACCTGGGGAACCAATACTGCCTCCTGATTCTTTTCAACCAGACCAACTTAGTGCCTTCTCTGGGCCCCAGGAGCATTGCTTCTGGGCCTGGCCCCGCCCTCACCTCCCTCTGCTTCCCTGGGCCTGCACCACCCTCCAGCCCCTTTCTGGGACACTGGGGCTGACCTTTCCTCTTCCTGATCCTTTGCATCCAGACCAACCCAGCTCCTCAGTGCAATCCCCAGGAGCCCTTGGGTCCTCTTCCCACCCTATCCGCCTTTGCATCTCTCAGTGGCACTGCCACCAGCTGCCCTAGACCAGCATCTCTCCTGGGCCAGGCTCCCAGGCCAGTCCAACCCCCAAATTCCTGAGGCCAAAATCATTCCTGGAGGGATCCAGACCTTAGGAGAAAGCCTGAAAACATCTGAAACTCTTCTGAATTGGGCCTCTATGGGAACTCCTGAAGACAAAAGCAATTTGGCCACACCCATAT